TAGAGGTGCGGCAGTCGCAGCTGCGGGGAGGTCGGTTCCCTGTGGCGGCAACATGATGGATTGATTGACTAGTGGGCTAGGTCAGCGGGAACGCAGTCGTGCTCGCACAGTCCAGAGTTGGCCCTGGGTCTGTTTGTTCCTCCGTTATCCAGCACCGCCGCTCGTTAGACGGTCGCATATTGTTGATTGATTGATTGATAGATTGACTGATCTAGCGGAAGTTCTCTAAAGACGTTCTCAGGTCCAAGATCTACCCAAGACATGGATCTTTTTGGCCCCATGCTCCTGGTGTATCATCATCCTCGATCAGGAGATCCGCTATTAGAATTTCCACGATGGAAGTCGAACTCGAGCTCCTCTTCACCAAAAGGAGGGAAGGATCTAGATGCGCGATCTATAGAAAGGAAGATCAACCAAAGGAAGGAAGGATCTAGCTGCGAAATCTTTTATAAAGAGGATGTAGATCATGAACAACAACAACAAAGAAAAGGAGGATTTTTCTATAATGAGGACCCAGAAGTAAGTAAGATCATCATATTTGCTTACGAAGGATCTAGAAATAAGGAGGTGCTCTAGGATCATGCGAAGGATCAGCTTCTAGATGTGTGCTCCTGCGATCTAGAGAGAGGACCGAGAAGGAGGAGCTAAAAGAGAAAAGAGATCCATCTTCCTTAAAGGGGCAGGGAGATCATGCAGATCTAGAGCGAGACTGTATATCTATATTTTGTATAGGCTTCCCCCATATTTTGAGGGGGGCTTAGGCTAGTGCTCAAGGCCGATAGAAAGAATTTTTTCGGACGAATGTGATTGCAACATGCATACCTTTTCTAAGGTAAAAGCCAAAATATATCAAACCATGCTGGAGTGAGTGTTCAAAAATACTCTGCTTCTATTATAAGACGAACTGTTAAGCTTATTGGATTTTAATGCAAGCCGAAGTCGCCTGTGCATAGTGATAGTAAATGACTCAGGAAACTACGAAAATTGCACATCACCAGATGCATTATCGATTGCTTCCACTTCCAAGACCAAGAAATATTTTAGCGATTGGATAAGTTTTCCTTTTCTACTGATATTTCTTGCTTTGAGCATCAAAATCAAAAAAAGTTGTCATGCTCATTGGCTTCTTGTTGTTTACACCCGAAAGAACATTCGACTTTTTCTACTGTTTTCGCCGCCTCCACATCTTCAGTAGAATTATTCATCACGTTGGTTTTCCTTTTAGTTTTACACTTACTGTTTCGGCCCATATCTTCTCTCTCAAGAATTGTATCCCCACAGACATCTTTTGACTTGAGAACAACTACCATGCTCCTGGTTGGTGCCGTCCGCTAGTACAAGAACGCTGGTTGTTAATTTTATTACTTCAAGAAAGAGGAACAAGGTCAAGGAGGTGATATTGATTGAGATCATAAGAGGACTTGAGAATTACAGAGACTCGTCGAAGTCGAGCCACCGAATTCTTGAACTTGCGTTTCTTGATCAGATAATTTCCAAAATGAAAAGTTCTACTTCGCTGCAGTTTTATTTCGCAATTTGTTGCTTCCTTGTGACGACCACGGCTGCGATTCAACTCAAGGCAGGCGTTGGAAATGTCGGAGAGCGTCTAATAAATGCAGAACAGGAAGAAACACATGTGACCACGGCGGCGGGCCGAAATCCTGGCGAAAAGGGGAGGTCGTCGTCAGAACTAGGGAGAAGTCCTTTACTACAACACGGAAATGAAGGCAGTCCCAGTCGCATCTCAAGTTGTTTCCCTAGTGAAGTCTCAAAGGCCGGAGATGATCCTGAAACGGTCCACCCCGAGGAACAAACTCCACAGACGTCGGCTTATGAGTTCGTTTTTGCACAGACTGGGCTTATGGGGATTGTGCAAGATCAGTTGTGTTGTGATTCAAAAATGCTCGCTAAAAATTTACCATTCGCAAAACTCCTGTTCATGGTGAAAAGAGACGGGGTTGCGCCGCTCCTCCTGTCTTCGGAATCGTATGCAACTCAGCAGGCGAACAGCATTGCATCCTCTTCCTCGGGAGAACAAGTACCAGCTACTTCATCCTCGGGTACACTGGGTGCCTTTCTGGACACGGTTCGGTCTTCCACCGCAAACGAGCCAGTTTTACCAGAGACGGAGACTGCTGCTATGGATTTGCTTACGCAGGTCATGTCGAGTACGCCAGCCGCTGTGGCTGATCAGCTTCTTTTTTTTGTCCGCCAAGAGAACGAGCTCTTTCGTCGAATGGGTACGATGACGAAGACGGGGCTGCAAGAAATGCGCGAAATCGGAAAACAAATAAAGCCGTCTGAGTGGCGTGTCTTGGGTCCAACTGAAGCTCATCCGATGCGCCGGACACCAGATCGATTCTTCGGGTTGTTCAACCAAGAAAAAGAAAACCCTCTCCAAAAGACGTTATGCAGCGTCGGAGAGTACCTTCAGTGTCCCCATGACGGAAGGCCTGCTGTTTTTTTCAGAGACCAGCTCCGATGGCGCAAATTCCGTACGATAGTCAGTCGAAAAGCCCCCGAAAATGGAGGATCGCCTGCTTCCATCAATCTGAGTTTTAGGCATCTTCTCTTTGATTCTAAGTCTTCGATGCTGAGTGTAAGCTTCAAATTCGACGTTCTGCCTCCAGAGGAAGCGACGGAAGAAACGAACGCTGGCGCTGCAGGAAAGGGACTGCGTCTCCGCCAGATAAATGTTATTTGGGATTATCCTGATCGCTCGTGCGATGGGATTAGACTGATAAATGAAAACTAGGTCGCTAGTTGTACACTGAGAAGATGAAGATGAACCACTACTAGAAGTGTAGTACTATAGACGAACGAAGATGACGAGCATGATGAAGGGTTGAAGATCATGAAGAAGTTGAAGTTCTTGTTCGTTGTGTTTATATTTATTCTTGAGGAAAAACAAAAAAGTAAGATACTTTTTTTATTGAGATGGATGCTTCAGCATTGTATTACCTGAACAAGTCAAGCAAAAACAGAAGAAAATAGAGAATAATGAGGAGAAGAAAATGCAAGAACAATAGTTAGCCAATGAGCTGACAGCGCCCGTAAATAGTTGCTGGGTATATCATCATCATCAAGCATGTTGCTAGTATTGAGGACGCAGTCGTGTTAGCTGTAACTGATGAAGCTGCTACTTCTTCAAGCAGTAGTTGGGCATGCTCTTATTCTTGCGGAGGACGACGATGAAGAGCATTTTTCTCCCGTCTTCTACTTTCAGTTGCATGACGGGAGGCAGAGCAGTGCCAAAAAGTGTTGTCATCTTCTTTTTTACATTGCCTGCAGTGCCGTCTCCTCGGTTGTCTAAAGGCCGACTGGAAAGTCGTTAAATGCATACGATAAAGATAAGCCTTGAGTTTATTTTGCTCCAAGTGCCGTATCTTCGGCCATCTGGGAGCCGACTGGATAAGTCGTTAAATGCATACGCTATAAGTTCCGTTTTCTTATATTGCCTGCAGTGCTGTCGCTTCGATTGTCTGGAGGCCGACTGGATAACTCGCTAAATGCATATATCTAGCAACGTAGTTTTTTAGGGGATCCGCATGAAATGACGCCTATAGGTGTCCTTATATATGTGGTCCTGTATAGCGCCGCGCTTACTTTTACACAGATCCTAAATGTCTCGTAATATAAGGGTCATCCTCGTGCCTTACTAGTACAGAAATGACCGCGGTCATTTATTCATGATGGGCGTCAGTCTTGGAATAAAAGTAACGATCGAAATAATACCAAACTTTTTCCGGTCGTCTTTTTTCGATTAGCAACGATCTCGACTTCTGACGGCAAAGCTCCTGATCACGTGCTCGACTGCTAAGAATATGATTGTCAAAAGTTGTGTCTTGCAAAATGCTACGCTCTGGTATTATGTGGCGGTGAGATCAAAATAGGTCAGTTTGATTGTTATGGCAATGGTATGGCTCTAGAGTAGATCCAGCCCTTTGTGGATTTCTGCCGCAAAAGGTGTGTCATTTCGCTGTCCCTGCTGTGGTATATGAGTAGAAAGCTTTTAATATTCTTGACATTCTACGCCACGTTAGTCTTACTCTCGTCCCAAGTCACTTATCCTCGTTTTATACTAAAAGGGTTGAAGGAAAGACCTACCTACATGATGCTGGTCATTCATCCGCATCCCCTCACCCAAAAACAGGAATTATAAGTGTGCTAGCTCTGCAGGCAGGAAAAGTAGTTGACACGCTGGAAGCATTGGGCGGAACTTCAGTGCATACTTTGGAAAGCTGTTCTTATCGTCTTTTAAGTGAGGAGCTGAGCGAAGAGAAGCAAAACGAAAGAGTAGAAGTCCGATAACAAAACACAAAATTGGAACCAGATTGAGGCGTAATTCTGTCTAAGATTCTGACTGTCGTCTAATTTTGTATTTGCAAAAGTAGCACATCTCCGACACGGACACATGATAGTGACACCATTGCACACACGATAGTGACAGTCTTGCATCTCTCTGCTGAAGCAGAAATCCTTTGACCACGCAGGTCTTTGTTATGACGCTTACCCATGATAATCGGTAATGCTTGCACTCATGCGATTGCTATTGCTGTTGCTGTCGCTGTTCGCATGTTCATGCCCATCTTGGTACTACTATGTACCTACTAGCTATGAGCGTCCGACAACATCCCCCCCACTAGGATTCCCATCCTCCCCAAAATAAGAAACTAAGCACGGCAAAGATGTGAGCGATATGCGTTCCGAAAATTTTCCACGTTTTGTCTCCGTTTGGGGATTGAATCTCGTGCGTTTGAAGTGCTAAGATCCCAAAGCTTTTGACTTTAAGCCTTTTCCCTGAAGTTCACTCAATCTCTTGGCTTCGTTTTTTGACTTTAAGCCCTTTGTTCTCTGAAATTTAATCCCTTGGATTCACGTTTTTCAAATTTCGAAAATAAATCTTCCACGTTTTCTCGTCGTTTTGCGCTTGAATCTCGTGCGTTTGAAGCGTTAAGACCCCAGAGCTTAGCTTTTGACTTTAAGCCCTTTCCCTGAGATTCAATTTCTTGGCTTCGCGTTTTTCAAATTTCGAAAATTTTCCGCGTTTTGTCGTCGTTTTGGGGTTGAATCAGTTTGGAGGGCTAAGATCCCAAAACTTTTGATTTTAAGCCCTTTCCCTGGAATTCAATTCCGTGGCTTCGCGGTTTCATGGTTTCGCGGTTCCCTGGTTCCTTGGTTAGCTTCCTGGTTTCCTGGTTTCTTGGTTTCCTGGTTTCTTGGTTTCCTGGTTTCTTGGTTTCCTGGTTTCTTGGTTTCCTGGTTTCTTGGTTTCCTGGATGGTTTCCTGGTTTCTTGGTTTCTTGGTCTCCTGGTTTCCTGGTTTCCTGGTTTCCTGGTTTCTTGGTTTCCTGGTTTCCTGGTTTCCTGGTTTCCTGGTTTCCTGGTTTCCTGGTTTCCTGGTTTCCTGGTTTCTTGGTTTCCTGGTTTCCTGGTTTCCTGGTTTCCTGGTTTCTTGGTTTCTTGGTCTCCTGGTTTCCTGGGTTCCTGGGTTCTTCCTGGGTTCATGGGTTTGGGGTTTGTTTGTTTGTTTTTGTGTCGGAGGTTGTGGGTTTGGGTGTTGGAGGTTGAGGTTTCGGAGGGGAAGTGTTTGCGCAGTTTTATTGCTCTTAATATTAAGTGCTGGACCTGCTTGTGCTCGGCTGAAGAAGATCACTGCAAACGATGGCATCTTGAGATAAAATAAGTACTGCAAACGAAGATCACTACAAACGATGACCCAGCTCTTGTTCCTGAGATAAATGAAGTAGGATGTTGAAGGAAGGCATCAAAAAAGGATGAAGACAGGCGCAGAGCTGCGTGGATCATCGTCTCTAGCGACATTGGTCTTCTGAGTGACAACATGGCAGATAATTTGAATGATCTCTATCTGAAGGACACGCTTCTGTCTTCCACCGCAAGGGATGATGGCCCCCCGCGGGAGAGAGTACCAACGACGAACACTGCTGCTACTGAATTGCTTACGCGGGTCATGTCGAGTACGCCAACCGCTGTGGTTGATCAGCTTCTTTTTTTTTGTCCGCCAAGAGAACGAGCTCTTTCGTCGAATGGGTACGATGACGAAGACGGGGCTGCAAGAAATGCGCGAAATCGGAAAACAGAGGCCGTCTCCGTGGCATGTTACTGCACAGACGACAGTTAATATAACTCCTTTGACAGATGAAAATACGGTGGACCTGACAGATCGATTTACCGGGTTGTTCAACCCAAGAGAAGAACTAACCCTCGAAGAGACGTTATGCAGAGTCAAAGAGCACTTCTCCAAACGTCATCATGACGGACCAGATGGGAGGCCTGCTGTTTTTGGCGCTGGCGAGCCCCATTTAT